GGGTGAAAATCACCGTATAAGAGAACTTGAGAAATTTATTTTTGCCTAAAAATAGTTTCTTTGATCAAACGTTGAACCGAAAATCCAAAGAGGAATAACGCCATCTTGCGTTAGAAATATTATATCTAAGAAGTGGTTGCTCTTTTCATGCATTATATTCGACCAAGGAAACGGGAAAACTAGGTTCATTCCTATTACCATTTAAGCCTATAAGCTGTGACTCATAGGGGTAATCGTCTCGCTGGAAACTGACAGGGGGGGGGGGGGGATTTTCCACGGACTGATCCAGTTTTCAATTTCAATGAACACCTTATTCAAGTTCAAGTTCAAATTCCGTTTCTTTAATATTTTCGTTAAAAATATACAAGGGAAAACAAACATATAAAAGAGGTATAATATGGGTAAGGTCTTCACTATTCTTTGCAACTCATCCCTGCTCTTTTCAACTGAGACAGTATCATCGTCACACTTTAGCTATGGTCACAAATTAGAGCAGCGACCGACCGATCAGTAGCCTGCTCGGTCGCTGCTGGAATTAGGCATCGCCCAGCGATTAGTTCGGTGCCCGGGCGGCGACCGCCCAGGCACCGAGCGTATTTTGGGCGGCGAGTGAAAAGTGGGCAGGCGCCGCCCAAATTTTAACTCCGCGCTAAAACTTCAGCGGCGACCGAGCGATGCCCTAACAACGAGCGGTGACTGGCCGGTCGCCGCTCGGTGGCCGGGCAGCCGCCGGGCAGAATTGGTTAAAAACTCGCCGCTCGGCCGCCGAGCAGGCTACTTTTGGGTAATGTGACCATAGCATTAGATTATTCACGTTCTGTCCTTATTGATTTGCTTTGTTGGTTTAGTTGTTTTGTAGCTAGGGCTTTTTGGTTTTTATTTTTTTTCTTCCATCTTTTTTTTCTTTGTATCATATTTAGTTGACTCTTACTTTTGGGCACAAACAAACCGAATTTAAAGTTTCACTAAAGTGTTGGGAGCCCCACAAATTTGATGGCAAACAATCTCTACAATCGTATAATGAAGTGAAATAGGATGACATTTAACACCAACTTCTGCAAGGATTTTCAGAATAAATGTGTTTGAAGACGAATATTGATGAAAGAATACGAAATTTAAGTTTTCTGCGTACGATCATATTCTTTCATCAATATTCGTTTTAAAACACATTTGTTTTGAAAATCAATGCAGAGCTGCGTGTTTTATGACATCCTCTTTCACATCAGTTCACAAATTGATTGAAATTTTGCCATAACTTTTTTAAAGCTAATATTGGGCTCCCAACACTTTACAGGGGCTTTAATATAGGTTATCGCTCTACAGAAAAGGAGCTATACAACCTTTTTTTTTTTTTTTACAGAATGGCGTACTGCGAATGTTACTGATTTCTCATAGATGGCGCTCACAGAGCTTAATAATAAGGTCTTATTATAAAGCTCTATGATGGCGGTAGTCTGTTTCTCATTATACGAAAAGGACAGAACCTGTCTTTAATAGCTAGATTCCGTTATTTTCTTTTGCGTTCTATATATGTATTAATTAAGGCAGGATTGAGAACGCAAACATTTTGTTTTAAGTGTTTGTGCCGTCTTACACATATGTTTGTTCTCTCTTTGCATATCATTTATTCTGAATTGCATTATTTTTATTGTTTTCCTCTCACGAGAATCTGACTTTCTTTATTGAATCATTCCCATTCTCACCGTCTCCTTCTAACCTCTCTTGTTTCTCTTTACCCTTTCTTTTCTTCCTCTCTCTCTCTCTCTCTCTTCCGTCTCTCTCTCTCTCTCTCACCCTCCCTTCCTCTCTCTCCACCTCCCACTCTCTTTCTCTCTCATGTTATGTTCATGTACTCCAATGATGCATTGACTATGTGCCATTTTATTTGTCCTGATAAAATTTCAGTCAAGGGCTTTATATTTAACCATGTTGGGACCAAATATTTTTTGGATTAAGATTAATATTTTCAAACTTAAAGTATATATATAGGCTAATTGTTTCCAAATAAATATAATTTAACTTGCTTGAAAGGTTATATGTTTTGAATTCGGTAAGAATCTGTTGCCTTTATATTAGGAATCATTGAACTTATTATAAATACATGTAAAATGTACAGCGGGATTCCTGAATTGGGGGTTGAAACAAACACTATAACAAGAGGTGTACAATGAATAGTTCTTTTGTTTAATTTCATGATTTATTTAGAATTCCGAATTAAGTTACACAGCTAAAATATAAGACAATTGGTACATTAACAAATGCATAGCATACATGCATAAACAAAGAAAATGATATGATACATGAATGACGACGAATTATACAAACGTGACATTTTAATAACAGAATGCGATTTCATCGCAGAGACAATACACGAAATAATTCGTGACAAAAAAACCCCACACATGTGATCGTATAGGTCTTGGTTATAATTGTTTAAATTGTATGCCCTTGGCAGGAGAGGGTGGGGGGGGGGGGGGTCACCATGCGCTCTCCCAAATCGAAGGGCGAAGAGAGAGAGAGAGAGAGAGAGAGAGAGGTGGGGAGAGACGGGGAGAGGGGGGGAAGAAGGGAGAGAAATCTGAGGAGAGATAGGGAGAGAGAGAGAGAGAGATGGAGGGGAGAGGGAGAGAAAGAGACAGAGTGGTGGGAGACAGAGGGAAATAAAGAGAAAGAAGGAAAGAATATGGGGGGAGGGGTTAATTCACACGGATAGCCCGTTCCTCTCACATTCCATACACTAAAAAGACCAGTTGCCCCGCCCTCCCCCATAACACTAGTGCCCCCCTCAATGACTGGACCTTAATATGCCACTGCACCAAAATATAAAATAAGCCTTATTTTGCACAACCGAACATAATTATGGACTTGCTCTTGCAATTATTGTATATAAATCTAAATTACAAAGAAAAAAAACGTCCTTGACATTTGTATACAAAATTAAAAAAGCATACGATGCATTAAAAACTCATACACCTTATTTTGGTTCACATTACAATACTCTACATTGTACATCCATGTAGAAAACTTCCCGAAATGGCCCACTATTATGAAGCAGAAGACGAAAATCATGCACGAACACGTACAAATCAATATACTTTTAAAGTTATAAGATTTTTCATTCCGTGTCCGCTACAAAAATTATATCAAATATTAATAACCGAAACAGGTGCATTGCATCTAATGTTATTCTCCATACAACTAGACAATATAACATACAACCTTTGGTCTTGAGGGAGATACAACAATGAGCTATAACTTTATACAATGCCTCATAAAACAGAGGAGGCGCGATAGCTCAGTCCTAAAGCCGGACCTAAAGAGGACCTAAAGCCGTCGGCCGTCTGGTTGCTTACTTACAAGCTTTATTTATGCTTTATAATCAGCCTTATTAGCCAGGTAAAATACCCACCACCACAACTTGGGTTTGCAATATCGCTTGCTAGTCTACAAAGTTATGTTTCCCAACATTTTGAATGTTTGAAGTCGAGGAAATAAGACTTGAAGCAAATTTTGTTAAAAACAAAACAAAAACGAAATACAAAGGGAAGATGTATTTGGGATTCAAAAAAAAAAAAAACGGCCTGTTCCAAAGGAGAAAAACTTTAAGAACGGATCTGTGAAAGTTGGAAAAGATTAAAGCTATTGATTTATAAATTACTATGAATATAAATATGGATATTGAATTGAGAAAAAATAGTATCAATACAAGTACGACCTGACGATAAATAACATTGTATTCACAAGTCTTTATCAATAAATGAAGAAGAACATGAAGTAATCCCTAGTTGTACATTTTAGAATAATCACTGCCAAAATGATGCAGGGGCTTCGTGGATATCTTCTGCGAGCCCTCTTGGATAGAAAACTTTAATCAATTTATAGTTGGTGCATTAATAAACAATGATGACGTCACTGTCATGAGCACCCGGTCCAGTGGGTTTTACAATTCATGCGAACTTCAATGACTATGAGGCTGTTCACACCGCAATGAGATAGCGCGGTCTATCGTAGCACCCCCTTTTTTCTAGCGCGCGCTAGACCGCGCTCTCTCTCGTGGACCACCCCCAAGAGGTGCTCTGTGGCAAGCCGTTTTGGTTCGCCGTGGCTCGCTGTTGGGCGGACCAAAACGACGTTGTACCTTCCAAACCGTAGAGATAGCGCGGTCTAGCGCGCGCTATCTCTGCCGGTGTGAACAGCCTCAAAGTTGCTGTCGGACATCAAAATACCACGATTTTAGTAGCTTAAAACAGTAAGTTGTTATTGATAACAGGTTCTATGAAACAGGGCCCAGATGCCAAACATTGAACCTATTAACTATTAACAATGTGAATTCTACATTTACAAAAGAATGATTATAAATTATGAAAAAAGTAAGTTCATAATAATGATATATATATATATATATATATATTTTTAGAACAGCGGAACATACCATGAAAACTCGTTTGCAATCAGTTTCTACTTCTCTATGGCGTAGCCAGCGATCGACATATGGGGGGCGTCCCCTCAAATAGGGAAGCTCAATTCCGTACTTGACCCCAGCAAGATGTTAACATTCAAATTTTAACATTCGATTTCTTTATCAAAATCCACAACAAAAAGAACCATTCTCATATCTCAATTTACAAAGGAGAACAAAAAAATTAATTTATAAAGTAAAACATTACAATAAGATTTGTCAATTAATGAAATCTTTGACATTAATTAAACTTGTTCTATTACTTGAACCCATTGGGAAATAACTAGTTGCCTCAGAAGAAGATGGTTATTGGTTGCCTAATGACCCATCCTCTCTCAATTCATCTCTGCTAGAATACATTGTCAGCTGCCCGCAAGAACGCCGTTAAAGCCATAGTCGACAATTTTCACATACTTCAACATGTTAAAACTTGGTAAGGGTAAGCTGGAATGGTCCCTAGGGAATGGAAAATATGAATACATTGTGTTGCGGGTAAGCTTGAATCCGATGACCGGGGTAATAATATGTGCTGTGCCTAGAAACAAAGTATTAGACGCATTATAAATGTGGGCTATTATTATCATTATGATTAAACACCCTTTGGTGATTAAATAAAGCAGTTCTCTTTCACACGCCTACAATCTTAATTAGATATGGCGCGGTCAACCGCCGCAGAAAAAGCCGTTCGGTTTTTTTTTACGCGGAAAATGAATGGAAACTACGCGCAACAAAGGACTTGCGCGTACTAACAGAGCTCTGTATGTATACGATAGAGAAATGTGTAGCGTATTACACCATACGTCATCATTACAAAATGACCGCCGAGGATTTGCCACGTCATATCTGTACGGGCCTTATTTTCTATTATATCATATGAACAAAAAGAAATCATTTTACGGTGGCCGCATCGGAAACGTAACAAAAATGTTCCACATGAATAACTTGTCTTGCCACCTTTAAAAGATCCTTGAAAGTGAATCTCTTCTTCATTGTACGTCATTTTGTCTTCAGCGCCTCTATAATATTAAACATCATTATTAATAGTACCATTTTATTTGTATCCTTTAAAAGGCAACATATCAAACATATCAAAGCATAAAACATATACGCATGATTTGCATTTTAGGTTCATACGTAGCGTACGAAGCGAAGCACGGGCGACTTGTGACGGCAGCACCATGGAAGTTCATTGACCTCTGATGAAAGGTCATGACCTTTGACCTATCCATATAGGTAATAGATATCTCTGTTTCTCCTGTTACTCCTTGAGTCACTTGAATCTCGATCTCTCTGATCGTGAAGAAGCTTCTGACCCCATTTCTACAACAAAATCAGAAGAAATAACGCTTTAAAGAATAATGATGTGAGTGACAGGGAAACTGCATGGTCTGAGGATTGACCGACATACCAACAGCTAATATATGCAAAGAACTTTGACACTGAAATCGAAATTGACAAGGAAATTGAAATTAAAAAGACTTTGACCTTGAAATTGAAATGAATAGCTATTTTCTAAGTTCTTTTGGAATACACATCCATACATTTGAGGATATTCGTAGTTGTGACGTAGCGATCGATAGCAATTTAATGCCCGTATTTTTAACCAATCAGAGGCCTAAAATGTTGATATATTGACCGATACCCCAGTCACATCGCCAAACCGACTCGAAACCGACCAATTATCCGCAGATTTGGGGGTAAGTTTGTTCGGTCAGATGTCAGTCTGGGCTCTGTTCCATAAAACTTGTTCTACATAACAAATGCTAAATTTCTATGACACATTTGATGATAGCCAATCAAATGCCATGATTTCAGTAGCTTATGACAATAATAGTAATTTGCTATTCATAACAAGTTTTGTAAAACAAGATGATGGCCGGTGAGACCGAGGTTTTAGCTGACTAATAGGCCTATTAATAATATTCCGTTCTTGAAGAGCGCATAACACATTATGATATAACGACCCTATAAGCTTCCAAAGAGCTTTGGAAATATCATTATTACCCTAGCTTTAGCTCAGGCAGCCCTTATCAGCTCCAAGGAACAATCCTACTACGTACCCTTTTACCTCACCTAGGTGGTGTGTGGCAAATGTAGATAAAGGTCTTGCCAAAGGACATTACAGTCGAGGCAGCGATTCGCACCCCGTACCTTGTGGACTGGACCGCGACATCTCTACGAATTACTTCAGTCAAACCTGCTTTAGTGACCACCTATCTACAAAGACCATAGTTTTTTTTTTCTTCCCCTTGAACACGGTTACTAATTGAAACCTGTACTAAAAGAACCTGCCTACAAAGACCACAATTGTTTGTTTTCCTTGAAAATGGTTTCGCATTATATTATGTACTAAAGGAACCTGTCTACAAAGACCCCTTTTTTGTTTTTCCCTTGGGCGGTCGCTATAGACAGGTTTGATGTACTGTACGTGTGCCTCACCTTAACTCTTTTGACGTATCTACTATGCCATGGTATCACCAGACAGTCGTTCTCTAGTAGCAACCTCCCATTGATTATATCCTGGTAACACATGATCATATACTCCTCGCCTGACGTCATCATTGGGCATGCGCAGTAGTTGTTCACCCATAATTGGACCTGAATGGTAAAAAAAGAAAGAAAACCATTCGCGTTATACAGACATCCTTCCTTTTGGTAATCCGATATTCGATCCAGCGTCATTGTTTCGGGCTTCAGTTGTCTGCAGTAGCATGTTTTAAAGCCCGTCCGGTATCTCAGTTCTCAATTAACGTAAGAAAAAGAGGATCACGGGGGACCAATGGTCACCGATTAGGCATCGTTTTCTATATAGAGAGAGCAAGTAGCTACAAATAGTACCGTGTGGCTTTAAGGTTTGCCTAGCTCTCAATCGTTAATGTTAGGATTATGTGTAGCGTTGGTTTTTGCACTCTTATAACCATAGGCGTAATAGGTGAGAAGATGGGTTTGATCCTAGGGCCGGGGCTACTGCCGCCTAATAGCTTTGAAATTACTAATACTCAGGCACTCGTCACCTCAAGTTGTGGGGGGGGGGGGCGGCTACATCATACACGTAGGTCGTTTGTGTCAACTTTGTATTCAGTGGTATGTCACGTGATCTTTCTTACCTCTCCTACTGGTATGTGTATCTCACTGAACTGAACCACGTGATGAATGATGACCCGGATGTACATCTCACCTCTTCGAGTACCGGAATGGAAACCTTCGACCCTTGCACGAATCACTGCAAGACGAAAACACGTTAGAACAGTATATAAAATCTAGTGAAATCTAAAGGCTTGGTCAGACATGTCGCGGTAAGGCGCCGCAAAAAAAAAAAAAAAAAAAGCCGGGTACATACTTTGTCAAAAATCCGAACTTTCTTATTAGTAAGACGATTTTGCTCAAACCTTTTTCGATTGGTTTGTCTGATTTTACTGCTTCTTTTAAAAGAAAGTTATTTTTGAAGTGGAAATGTACTTTAAGTCTAAGTGATTCCTCAATGTTATGATACTCAATGTTTATTCAACAGTGGACCGCCAGGAGTGTGACATACATGAGCGCTATACAATAACCCACTATTATTACTACTATCATTATTATATAAAGGACCGATGCGTTACAGACGGATAAGATATATGTTTAACTAGATGCCAACTTTTTTATGTTAAATCCGACAAGACAAACTGTGATATATCTCATTGGTCAATCTGCATTCTAAAGTTACTGCAGAAACACTGCTTTTGGAGAACGTACCGAATTCATATTCCTTCTCAAAGAACAGATCACGTGACAGCTCATAATCATATTGACAGACGTCACAGTTCCCGGGTGGTACTTCAGGGACTGTGGAGAGAGAGAGAGAGAGAGAGAGAGACGGAGAGAGAGAGAGAGAGAGAGAGAGAGAGAGGAGAGAGAGAGAGAGAGAGAGAGACGGAGAGAGAGAGAGAGAGAGAGAGAGAGATGGAGAGAGAGAGAGAGAGAGAGAGAGAGAAAGAGAGACGGAGAGAGAGATATATATACTGTCACTTGTTTACGTAATGAGTTTGGCCATGATATAGGTATTAAAGGGTAATGTTTACAGCTTGGTCCAAACCGTATCATAACGGACCACTGTGAATCTAATATTAATGTAAATACAATTCAGTTTAACATTAATTTCAGATAAATACAAATATACATCGTACATTAAATCGCTTGAAATATAACAATCATATCTTAAGATATCAATCATGAAATAATAAAAGGAAAGCATTAAATTTCGCTTAATTTGCCCCTTTTCGAAACCACGAAGGTGCTTTCGTATAACAAATCAAATCTATCATTGAACCATTTCAACATCATGATTTAATGCCGTCGTCTAGGGTGGATCTCTCCCTTTAAACTCTCTATCCCATCAATCAACATGCCAATCACAATGACAATGTTCTGGCACAGCGCCCTCAAACATCAGGGAGTCAACACTGTGTTGTAAACATCTTGTTTTTCCCACCTACACGCATGCGACCTTAAAAAACCCACCATCCTAGAAAACAGAACGACAATACTAAACACTTAAAGATAAAGTTGAGTTCTGGGGAGAGGTGAAAATAGTTTGTGAGGTTTTCATTGTTAGTATGCAAGCGTGGAAAAACATCAAAGAAAAAAAGCTCCCTGAAAAGCATGGCTCTTAAAGGGATCGTTTAACAATGTTAAATCTGAGATACACGGCCCTATGTGTTATCAGTGTCTGTGATATGGTGTAATATTGAAGCCCTAAACAAATTGCGTTTCAAAATGATCAAGAAGTGCCTCAAAAAAGTAAAAATCTTTGAGTGACCGGTTTTACCATACTCGTTTTCCCCAATAGACTGTAGTGTTATTAAAACCGTCAGGCGAACGGTTTTCAAAATTTGAAATTCCAATCATAAATATCTTGATAATCAGACAGGCGATCGGCTTGTAAAAGTCATGGGGTTCCTGACTGACCTAAGGGTATATAATTATCATTGCATCATGAGCTAAATCCAGAATTTTATTTCAGAATCTGAGACAAAGTTACCGGATCCCTTTAAAGGGATCCGGTAACTTTGCCTCAGATTTTGAAACAAAATCCTGGATTTAGCTCATGCTGCAATGATATGTAAGTCAGGAACACCATGACTTTTACAAGTCGGCCGCCTGTCTGATTATCAAGCTATTTATGATTGGAAATCGAAACCAATTTTTGCGTTTGCCTAACAGTTTTCATAACACTACAGTCTGTTGGATAGAATGAGTATGGTAAAACCGGTCACTCAAATATTTTTACTTTTTTGAGGCACTTGTTGATCATTTTGAAGCGCGATTTTTAGGGCATTAAACAAATGAATATTAAACAAGAATATGATTGGACTGCTCTATTCATGTAGTAACTCATTATTCAAAATTAGCGAAATAATCAATTTTGCTACTTATTGTTACTTCACCACTGGTAATTAGTATTTTAACTGTATGTATTCATTGGCAATGAGCTCACACCGACTGTACAATCATTTACAACTTTGTTAAGAGAGGGAGTCATACATATTAAGAAAAGATGTGAAGGAAAATAAAAATAAAACATATGAATTAACTGCCCAACGGGGCCTATAACTCAAAGCATAGCTTTCACTATAGGCCCCTACATATTTCAATTTTTTTTTCTTGGGGGGGGGGGGGTTCAGTCTTTTGATTCAATGCATTCGAACAAATTGATATGAGGTACACACTTTCTGTTTTTGTCTCTGTTGATAGAATCCACGTTTATTTGTACCACCTACTTTGTGAATTCATTGCAAAATGTGAAATATATGTGAAATATGAAACAAGAAAATGAAAGTGAAACTGATTTAAAGTCCACTGAAATAAAATCGATGTGAAAAGATAAAATAGCAAGGAAAATATCAATAAAGGAAAAGAGAGAGAGAGAGAGAGAGAGCGGGGGAGATAGAGAGGGAGATACATTGAAGGAGGAAAAGAGAGAGAGAGAGAGAGAGAGAGAAAGAGAGAGAGAGAGAGAGAGAGAGAGAAAGAGAGAGAGAGAGAGAGAGAGAGACAGAGAGACAGACAGAAAAGTGCAAAGTAACTTTAATGAGATAGGGGCAATTAAACAAAGACTAAAGCTGGCTAGAAGGAGAAACAAATTTGTTGAATGACGGCTTGAACGGTCAAAGGTCGCGGTTGTAAAACGTGACGGAATTCCGAAACATTCTTCATTCAAAGAAAACTCTTGAAATCCGTGAAATTGTTTTTATTCAGGATTAACCGAGCAAGGAGACCAAGGGCATCTACTTTCATTTTACTTAATGTCTAGAATGAAAATGTGTTGAAAAATGTGACATAATTGTGATTTTGTATTTTTCTATGACGAGTGACGTAGTATTTGTCTACAGATTGCCAATTTGACAACTTTAAAAGAGGATTCAATTTTCTTTTACTACAAAAGTATTTAAAACCTTTACGCTTACTGTATGTAATAAAAATGATGATGATGATGATGATGATGCTAATGATGAGGATAATTAAATTAGTAACGATACTATTTCTACTATGATGATGATAATAGTAATAATAACAGTAACCATTGGTTATTTTTTTTTTCTATTCGTTGATATTATACTTTACTTTGTTTTAAATTATCTTTTCAGTCCTTACTCTTATTTACCTTCTTTTTTCGTTCATTTTATTCGTCCTTTTTTCCTGGGGGGGGGGGGGTCTGCTCGTGCATCATAATTATGTACGTATTCAACTTGTCATTATGTATCAGTTTAGTTGAATACTAAACTCTGTCTGTTAGTCCGTCATCCCTTTATGTTGAAGGAAAGTGTAGCATCGTGTAACACCTAAAGTTTGGGTCTCTACATATGTATTTTGTTTAATCTTTAAAGAACACGTTTCGGTGAATTCCTCAGTTTACCATAATAAACACCTTTCATTATTGTTGTTATGAACAAATAAACAATCAAAAGAGAAATGTTGATGTAAACGTGATATTGGAATATCATTCTCTCATGCTACATAGACTTCGGCAGGTATACATTTACTTGTTGACTGTTGAATTCGATCATTCCTTGCCATAGGGTTAATACAGCAGCCACATGATTCCAGTAGGCAATAGGTTAAAATAATGTACTTAGTAAACCCAATAGTAATTCCAAGATTTCATTTCCTACCCACCAAACTGATGAACCTGATAAACCACTTGAAACGGGACAATAAATGATCATCCTTATGGACATTTTAAAGCGGGACTGCACTACTTGTATCTACTTGCCCCCTCCATATAGCCAACAATGCCTAAGCGGTACCCTTTGGTGCCCCATGATCCCATTTTACTTATGTTAATTGAGACCTGATTTGATGAGATAACCACCAGTCAGTGACCTCACAGGGAGGTATAATCCCTCTTGGCCAAACTAGTGCAGATAGGCTTTGAGAATGGAAGAGGGATCAGGGAGAGGGCGCCCTACGAGACTGTTTCTTACCTGTTGGGGTGGGTTGAAAGTGGTCCATGGTCGGCCCTGAGTCGACGATTGCATCTCTGGTTATACACACACCGGACGTGTACTCGGGTAGCTGGTCACAGGATAAATACACAGGCCAAGACACGTTGTGCTCTATCATGATAGGCTCGCAGCCCGCCCTCACGTTCTGGCAGACGCTCTTACAGGGTGGGACAGGTTCTTCCATGAAACCCATGGTGCAGATGGGTACGTACATCGCGCAGAGGAAGAACGTCAGGTTCCCACTGCAGTTGGTGTTCACAAGCGGCAAGAACTGTTCAATGGCCAGCTTGGCGTTCTCCTGCGTGCTATGGTGCAGGAGATTAGGCATGCGGGTTAGGTTGTAGGGCATGGATTCACACATGGGCAGCTGCACCAACTGACACTCAGGTCTACCACCGTTCATGCTCATCGCTGATAAAGCAGTGAACAAAGTGAACGGAATGAACACGCTTCTATTCATGCTTAACCAGCGTAAGGTACAGGAAGAATGCATGGCCCTCAAAAGAAAATTGCCGCAGTTCATTTTCCTGCAGATCTTTTTGGTTCTGTATGTAGTTCTCTCAGCTACACGAGTCGAGAAACAGTTTCTTGATTCTAAACGATGGCACTTTAGTCGAAACCCAGCTGCATCGGTGAGAGTACAATGTGCGCCCGCGAGGGAGGCCTCCAAATGGGATGGGCCAACCTCAAACCTGTCTCATTCACAAGACAAAGCCTTTGTTTTATTCGGAGGAATGTGAATGTCAGGGCTGTGTAAACTTCAAATATTGACATTCAGCGTGATTTACGAAGTATATTTTTCTTTCAGCTGCCAAGATTTGTATTGTCTTGAAAAAAGAAAAAAAGCTCAATGCGCTCATGCAAACACATTAAATATTGAATAACTGGGTTCTTCGGTTGCTAGTGTTCCGCCGTTACTCGCATTTAGCTATCCACACACTGTCTGGGTTTTGTGCAGGTAAATCTCGAAATGATTTTGACAGTCCACATGAACAAATATAAGAATATTTGTGAATACAATATGCAAACACTGAATCCGTTCAAAAGCAAAAGAAAGTTTCCTTTATCGTAGGTAGGATTCCGACATCGAGAAATTCGAAGATATAACAACTTGAATCACAATCTGGAATAAATGATTTTTTTTTTCACAGCTGAAATCCTTCTGTTATAAAATGCGACAATTCGTCACATTTGGCTAGTTATATACTCTCACGTCTCCACAAAAATCATCAAAATCTTTCAAAAAATCGATCAGCTCCTCATCCATCAATCACTAATACGTGGTAAGAAATTCCTCCGTTCTAAAAATAGACCATGTTCGAGGATCGTATAAAATGTTCACTTCAAGAAATATCACCAACACGTCATCACCAACATTGGCGTTGCTTTGATTTATGTATCCTTGGTTATTGGTATATGTCGTTGTTTCTGATCCGTTTCATTTCAGGTTTTACCAGTGCGAGACGAGACGACGTTGCAAATGAGGTATGAAATATGAATCTTTATGGTTATGGCGAACCAAAGAAATACAATAACCCCAACAATAGCGGTTTGCAAGGCCCCTCTCCCTGTCTGTCTGTCAATAAGGCGGTTTTGTTTCCCGTGAACCGATGAAACGTCATATCCGGAATGGCGGGGGGTTCGGCACATACATAGACTAATCACAATACAGTGATCACAATCGGTGAAGCAATTGATTCGCTGTCATGTGACATGTCATGGATTACGATGGTATGTCAGGTGATGAGTGACGTCATGAACACGATACACTTGTCAGAAAAGCGATTAAAAATAAAATGAACTGAATGTGATGAAATGGAACTTGAATTCTTCATCCGACTTTGCTCAACAAGCGAACGCCTTTCGCCAATGAACTCGAAAAAAGGAGGTCAGTTTTACAAATAACTCATTTCATTATATCAATATTCAGCTCTTCGCTATGGCCTTCTAAAAGGATTTAAAATAAGATTTTCTAAATAAAACGATGTATATCAAGTGGTTGTCTATTAATCCAAATAATTGATTAAAGGCACATCATCAGGCCTCTCGTTAAGCACTGACTTGACAGTGGTAACAATGATGATGCTACCCCGTTCTAGGTGACTGGGTGTACTCAGCTCCAAATCGACTAAAGGTAAATGAGTCCCTTTACCTTCATTCAGAGGTTTAATATCACAAGGTCCATTGACCTTCGAAGAATTCAAATCCAAACCAAGAGGGACTGAACAGGGTTCATTGGTATCAGCGGTGCATCTATCACCACCTCTAACGCACTGACAGGGGTAAAACCGCACCCCTCTTTTACCCTTCTGAAAACTCTATCAACTTGGTGATACGTTTAAGGTTCCGGTAGGTTGCGCTTTAACACCCATGCACCTGCAAGTCACATGTATCCCTTTCTTGGGTGGAGCTAAATGTTCTGGTAGGAGTGAGAGGGTTAGACATGAACCCCAATCCCGGAGTGTAGAAGCCGGTCGAGGATGAGGGGTGATGGTGAGATGTCAATGCACTATCAGATGGATGATCAGCACACACTGCATGGAGGCACGTAAACGTTTGGTTTGAAATGTTCGGTTGTCTTTCATTGCCGATCATTCATTCGGCCTTGCTCGACACAGAATGTAATAGAGAGAGAGAGAGAGAGAGAGAGAAAGAGAGAGAGAGAGAGGAAATGTCACGCCGTTTCACTCCGAAGCCGGGCGAGTAATGTTTATAACTGCCTAATATGTAATACCGCAGAAATAATACCAAGAGATGCTCGGGAATACTTTCGTTTAACTTGTGCTGCGTTGCCGACTGTTTTAGACAGCTCTTATAATAGTATTCATCCGCTGTCAAATTCCCAATTTGCAATCACGTATTAAACAATTTTTCCTCTTAGTTCCGCTTTGTAAACTCACTTTTAGTGACACCAACAAAATAAAAATATCAAAAAGCGTTATCATAATATTCCATGTCTGTGTATCTCAGATAAATCAAATTCCAGGATCGTGGTTCACATGTGCTATTCACTACATAGATGTCCAACAAAATGAGGACGTATTGTCTTGATGTCGTTGTCGATCACCGATGACTGGACGTACGGACGATGAAGTGACGATGTTCGTTCGTCTTCGGCTGTCCTCGAAATCAATCGGGTGAAATGATGATGGACGTGTGCGACACGCGACGACGCTCTATTTCATGCTCCAGGTGCGTCCAGGTGTTACGGGCGGAAAATATACAGACGGTAAATGCTCGTGTCAAATTCAAGCAACTTGAATGACAAACCAACTTCTTGGACAAACTCATGAATTTAAAAACATCACGGAGGGAAAGTTTCCTCGAATCTATGACTGACGTAACTGACGTTCCAAGTTTGGTAGCAGCTTTAACCACATGTAAAGACTGTAATGTTGACTATCATGAAAGATCGCAGATTCACCGAATCTTCGAAACTCCAGGCGATCACTACTTCACCAGAGACGTTAAAAACAGGAAAGAGAATTTTATAAGCTTTCAGCCTTTTCTCGAGAATGTCATCTAAAGAATAGCGATGTTTCCCTAAATCTGGTCTGCAAATATGGATAAAAAGACATGCTTGGATACAAGCTTTCATCTAAAAAATACAGCAATTGAAATCCCTTATTCGTTAGCCCTAAACCAGGACATCTCTCTTTTTCTTTTCTTTTTCTTTTCTGCTGAGAGTTTTGTCAGCGTCGGCAATGTTTACAACGCAGGACATGATGTCTCGGCATTTGTTTGTCTCCATTGTGTCCGTATGATGTTGGTGTTTAGACAGTCGAGTAATTGAGTGCCTCCACTCTATATATCACACACACACACACACATGCTATTAAACCTCTAGTCTTAATTCAAAGACCATATTGTGGATTCCATTCCATAAATAATATTTGAATTTACACTGTGCTCAAATTAAGTTTGATTACTTTGGCAATTTTGTTTACCTTGATAGGGGCCTCGTCTAAAAGAACAGGCTGCTTCTTAGATTAGAGGTCCTGGCATATTATATATTATGTATTTATGATTTATAATTTGTTAATAATGACGATTAAACTCAAATTGTCCAAAGCAAATGAATGGGGAGATTGATTGATAATTTATCATGTTTGAACTTTAACCTCACTGGTGTCATGATGATTTATAAGGATTGGAGGGAGGAGGCGACGACAAGTTGTTTTTCATTTCACCCGTTTGGAACTTGCTGAGTCCCTTTCTAATAAGGTTTGCAAACATACTGGTATCAAGGCAAAGGTATACCTGGATTACGAATATCATTATTAAGCACCATCACCTGGTAAATTTGTCTAAGTGATCTTCATTTGTATGTTCATCATCTTCATCATCACCACTAGCAATACCTTAAAGATAAAGACCAGTGTTGGAAAGGCCCACATTTCAAAAAATGAAATGGAAGCTCTCATTACCAATCATGTGAAAGGATATGTTTTGACTAATACATGATGATAACAAATTTGCCGGGAAACCGCCTACTAATTCATATATTTGGTAAATTTGTTTCTCTCATGGTCTGTGAGAGATATAGGGTAGTCCCATATACATCTTTCTGTGTATAGTGCTTGTAACTTTACAAAGAATGGGCCAAATTTCTTATCATTTTGATGATTCCAGAACCTTGCAGATGCTAGATGCTAGATGATCAACCTTTTCTGATCGATTTCACAACGTTTCTTTCACAATGCAATCGCATGACCATAACTGGTCTTTACCTTTAACTATGATCATCCTCACCATACTCCTCCTCCTCTTCCTCCTCCTCCTCGGCATCATCGTTATATACATATTCAGCCAATCAACGACGGAGGCAAAAAGGTGAATTTTCAGTATTGAAATGGGGGGGGGGGGGGGGGGGGGGGGGGGGGGGGGGGTGGACTCTTACATTTTCTCCTACAACAGTTGCTCCAGGCTTCCTCATTGGTACAGGGTTAGGGTTAGGGCTGCAATGCGGTTTCAGATTAGGTAAAATATTTCGCATAAGGTTGACTAAAAATGTAATGGGTATCTTTGCCTCTGATTTTAAACAAAAACCTGGATTTAGCTCATGCTGCAAACATAATTACAGACCCTTAGGTCAGTCAGGAATCCCATGACTTTTACAAGCCGGTCCCATGTTTGATTATCAACATATTTATGATTATAATTCATATAGAAGCGCAATTTTTTTAGGGCTTCAAAATTACACCATTATCAAAGACACTAATAACACGTAGGACCATGCATCTCAGAATTGTAAAAAAAAAGAAGGAAACATTGTTATCAAAGCCTTATATTTTTGTAGGAAATTGAGGCGAAGTAAATACTGTCTTAGGATCATCTTTTCTGTTTCTAGGAGCAGAAAGGTGTCGTTGGATAGATGACTTGCAGTCTAGCCTCAGTAAAGCTTGCTTGACAACTCAGACCGAGGAGAGAGAGAGAGAGAGAGAGAGAGAAAGAGAGAGAGAGAGAGAAAGAGAAACAGAAAGTGAAAGAGAAAGAGAGAGAGAGAGAGAGAGAGAAAGAGAGAGAGAGAGAGAGAGACAGAGAGAGAGAGAGAGAGATAGAGGCGGGGAGGAGAAGGAAAGGGTCGAGTAGATTTCTTCACTGTATATTATCAATTCCATAAGAGGTTTGCAATGGAAGACTATACAGCGACCTTGTCTTCGCTCTTGAGCGCGTTGAGCTGCGAACGACGGACTGCTACGCTATGATTGACACCTGCCAATTACAACACAGAAACACAGTGACGTCATGATGGACAGGACAGATAACTACCCAAGAAGTAGTCTACAGAGGGCGTGGTCAACCCCCTTCTCTTTCTCTCTCTCTCTCTCTCTCTCTCTCTAGGCTCTCTCTCTGTCTCTATCGCTCTCTCTATCCCCCCTCTCTCTCTTTCTCTCTCTCTCTCTCTGTCTCGATCCCCCTTCCCCCCCCTCTCTCTCTCTCTACCCCTCTCTCTATCTTTCCCCCTCTCTATCTTTCTTTATCCCTCTCTTTCTCCCTCTTCCATTAGGGCCCTCCAATCGTTTATCTCCTATATTTCTATGTACATATTGTGTAATGTTTCTTTTATATTTCTTTTTATACGTAAATAAATTCAAGTCAAATCAAATCAAATTATCTGTCTTTTTATCTATCTGTCTATCTATTAATATATCTCTCACCCTCTCGTTATCTGTCTTCCTATCTATCTATACATCTATCTACCTATCAATATATTGTAAGTATATCTATTCATATATCTCTCCTTTTATATGTGTCTATCTATCTATCTATCTATCCATCTATCTCTATTTATCTCTTTCCTTCTATCTTCCTATCGATCTATATCTCTCCTTTTTAAAATTTTATCTATCTATCTATCTATCTATCTATCTAACTATCTATTCATTATCTACCTCTATTGATTCATCTATGTTTTCTGGATGTTGTATCGTCTTCATGTATATTGTTTTCTCTTACTAGTAGGGCGCCCCATCACTTTAATTTCCGGGATTAATGTACGAGGAAAGTGCCAAATATGTTTTCTTTTTTGAAGATTATAAGTTTGTCAAGTTAAATCAATACCTGAATATTATTTTTAAATTACTTTTCGACCTGCGTCTATTTTCTTTACCAATTTGTTTTCAGAATTTTCTGATTTTGTATGTTCTCAAAACGAGCACGATCCCATACACAGTTGGAGTTGACACGACTTTCTAATGACATTCAATTCAGTTCAATTTGTTTGTTATGCACAAAGAGAAGAGTACATTTGGTATAAAAATTCGTTTCTAAGCCAAGCTGTGACCTGGAAAGACATGTACGTCTTTATTCTCTATACTCTAAATGAACTTCCTAACCGTTTCTCATCTTGTTAGAGTGGTCTCTCTTTTAGTTTGCCCTGCTATTCTTTCCAATATCACCTTAAACATGTTCGTCCCATCTCTATATTTTATTTTCTTGTTTGGTCTTTACATCATTCGATCGATCCGTGTCACCAATGATCATAGCAAACGATCTCTTCCCTTTCTGATGCTTGACATGGTTGGAAGCTTAAAGAGAAGGTTGAGTTCTGGGAAGAGGTGAAGAATAATTTGTGAGCCTCATCATTCTTATTATGCAAGTGTGGAAGAACATCAGATAAGACATGATCCCTGCAAAGCATGACTCTTCAAATGCCTTCATATTCTAAATATGTCATGTAACATCGTAAAACTCGGGGGTATGATTTTTACGCTTCGTGTTCACGTAGTCTCATATACATCTTTCTGTGTACAGTATTTATAACTTTACCAAGACTTGGCCAAATTTCGTATCATTTTGATGATTCCAGAACCTTGCAATACACACAAATTCTTATATGCTAGACGATCAACCTTTTCTGGTCGATTCCACACCGTTTCTTTCACAATGCAATCGCATGACCAGAACTCAACTTCATCTTTAAAGGTAATGCAATGTTTTGGGAAAATTTGAAAATTGGATGGATAGTAATTCCTAAACAATTTGATAGGTCTATATTTGAAAACACCAGTGGATGTTTTATAAGCACTAGAAAATTAAGCCTCTAAAACACTTTCGCGAAAAAAAATAATCAAATTTTACCGGTCCTCAAATATGAAAAATAGCGTCTAAGGCCATTCCATGGTAGCTGCGACCATGAACATCTCAGAATATGCAGTGTTGATATGTAATTTCCAAACGGGAAGAGCAAATCGGTCAATAAGTAGTCAAGAAACATTGTTTTAAAGCTAAAGTAATATCAGTCTTGGGAGGGAGCTATACAACATAAAGAGTTTATTATTTACAGTTTCATCACTTTAGACTCGATTTCAACCGCGACAACGATCATTGAATATTGTAAAATCGCATATGCTTCCAATATGTTCATTTGAACCAAATGCATGACCCCATACCAAACCTTTGTATTACCTTTAATCCATGGACCCACTAAGAACCTTTAAACCCAGTATTCGTGAAGAAGTAGACCTAGGTAAAATGCGAAGGATGGCAGACGGAGAACGGTAGTTATTAATAGACCATTCTACGTAGGGGTCCGTCGGACAATGTGTCTCCCATCGGGTAGGTGCGAGATACCACCGGGATAGACACGGCGAAGAATGCGGGCGCATGCTGATGGCTTACGACATTAGCGTAAAGTTTCGACAGGTATTTGGAATCGTCCCCCGCCGTTGGAATGATGTCGCGTTCTGTTTTTGTTCCGCATATATGTCAATATTGACGATCGTGTGATGTGATGCTAAGAAAACAAAATACAATGAAAATGGACACATTGCACAGGGGGAGCTAGCCCAAGAATATTTCATACATACATACGCATGGAAAGTTTTCTTACATGCACAACAATAGGCCTTAATAGGAGAGGGAGAGAAAGAGAGAGAGAGAGAGAGAGAGAATGAGAAAGGAAAGGGAAAGGGAAAGAGAGAGAAGGACAAAGTAGGGGAAAGTGAGCTACAGGAACAGAGGAAGAGAGAAGAGAAAACATGCAGGAGAGAAAGAGTGAAAGAGAGACTGAGGACAGAGTAAGGAAAAGAGAGAATGAAAGAGATCGACAAAAATACTGGAAAGAGAGAAACCCAGGAGGGAAAGATGGATACAGAGATAGATAGAGAGAGAGAGAGAGAGAGAAAGAAAGAAAGAGAGAAAAGAAAATGAAAGAGAGGGACAGATAGAAATATATACAAAGATAGAGAGGGAGGGGAGAGGCGGAAAGGGAGAGGAAAGGATGAGGAGTAGGAGGAAAAAACTGAGGTATTTAAACAAAACTAATGGAGGGAGAGACCAATAGAAAAATAAAGAGGAAAACTGAGATGGAAAGGGAAGGGTAGAGAAACCTAATAAAAGAGAGAGAGAGAGAGAGAGAGAGAGAGAGAGAGAGTGGGTAATATATAGGAAGGGAACAAAAATATAGGGGGAGAAGAATAGCAGAGATTGGTGGTATGGGGGGGGGGGGGGGGCTATTTGTTACCCTCTCTGCCCCATTTGGTATCATACCCTTGATACGTCCAAGGTCAATGCTCTCTGGCGGAGTTGAAGGTCGATCGCAAAGGTGATGATGAACAAAACCTCACAAATGCTCGCACTTCATTCTCATTTTGTTTCGAACAAAGTGGCGGTTTTCAAACAAAAATGTGGTTTTCAAACATAAATAAGTGATACAAGTAAAACTGTGGCTTTTCCTCAATTACGCAAATTTGAAAAACACACGGGTCTGGTAGTATAGAAAGGAAGGCATCAAGGTTACACAGCGCCTGTCTCTTGTTTGAAACCTTGACACATGCAGCTCATTCCGTTGATATAATAATACAATGAAATAGGAACATAGGTCAATTTATATAGGGCAAAGTTCTGGTGCAATATTTTGCAATGCTCTTTCCTCCTTTTGATTTGGTCTTCATGGACAGTTGAGAAAGCATTCTTTTTTTTGGATGAGTTTTAAGAAGATAAACAGATGCGCTACCATTTTTTTTCTTCATAGAAATGAATACAATAAGGAGTAGTTTATATTGAATCCTACATCTTATATGTAACCAGTGAAGGAAGCTCACATATCTACAACAGCTATTTAAGAATAATCCTCAGTTGTATTGTTTTATACATACAGAACATTGGTACCGATGGATACCAGATGCCCCTGTAGCGAGACCTACTGTAGAGTGAACGCATCCAAACCACTTTAGAAGTGGGCTTACTTTAAAATCATCGAAATGAACCTGGTGCATAGATATGCGCAAAACGAATTTAACAATAATTTATTCCAAGAATAGAAATCCAACTCTTTGTAAGTCGTACTAGGGATCACTTCGTTGAGTCAGAGAGATGGGAGGGATCTCCCTGGTTCAGTGTAGCTCAACATCTAACGTCAAAAGAGTTACTCAACAGCCTCTTCAGGAATATGTATGATGTTATCCATGATTTTGTATCTGAATAAAGATATATTAAAACAAACAAAAAACATTTAAAAAAAAACAATTAAGAGTAGATTTAAATATATTTTGAAGTGGATTCAACTCCAAAGAAAGATATATCCGTACTAACCATCTTTCTCTCTCTCTCTCTCTCTCCCGCTTTTCTCTCTCTCTCTCTCTCTCTCTCTTTATTTCTCTCTCTCTTTCTCTAGTCTCTCTTTCCCTCCCTCTCTTTCCCTCCCCCCTCTCTCTCTCTTTTCCCCCTCTATCTCTCCCTTTCTCTCTGTGCCATAAATGTAACGACATTGGCGGTCATAATTTTTCTGAACTCTTTGTTTCTAGCCGCTTTCTTCTTCTTCCTTTTCTTCTAGTTCTTCCTTCTTCTTCTCATCCTCCTTCCTCTTCTTCTCATCACTCTTCTTCTTTTCTTTTCCTTCTTCTACTCATTCTCAGATGGCTTCTCAATCAACTTGAGAATAGTTGTATTGTTTCGCTAGATGGCGCACTTTAAATCACTCTATCATTGGAATAATATATTTCATATACAGTTGAAATGAATAGACCAATAATAAGTTCTTTTGCCTTTTTGTTTGTTTGTTGTTGTAAAATAACCATTTCTGGTCTTTTTATTTCCTCATAATGATATATACATCTTCATATTTTCAGAATTTGCCTCCATTTCTGGAGGGATATACATGTACATGGTTTTCTACATGAGAAATTATTTTCCATCTGCAAACGATAATTCAAAAGTTATATGCATTCACATTTTCTGACGATTTGAACATTCGAATTTATTCATAATAATAATTCCTTACCACCAATATTCATGCACTATGATTATATTTGAAAGAAAAGAAGCAAACAAAGATACGTAAACAAAATAAATTTGGCTCAAAATGTCATTAAAACAAATATTATATATTATATAAATCATTGCAGCCTGCAACGTTTACATGAGTGAATAAATAAGTAACATTCGTGTAATACATGATATTATCATTTCTAGCATATTTCTAACGCCCAAATTTGGAAACCGCCTATACGATTAGACGCGGACCGCACTGCAATATGGGGTCTCAATTGAAAACTCGATTTAGAAGAAACAAATCTGACTGTTCAGGACTCCCATGTCCCCCCTGATATTGGAAACCCACAACTGGTGCCATGTCTAAATAATTGTCAGTTTGAAATAGCTATGGTTGATTTATACAAGTTAATGAATCAAAACATTTATTTACATCCCTCCTTGAATAGTGATCATTATCATCAAAACAACAACAACAACAACAACAAAGGCTCGGTCATGCTACTTCTTTGGGATACAGTATGTCAGCAAACTTTTGAAACCTTCAAATATTCAAGAAGAATACATTTTGGTGAAGTTCGAACAAAATTTCTAAATATTGAGTATAATGCACATGTTAAGATTTATTCTTTTAAGAAGACCACTATGCAATATATCTGTTTAATGACATGGGAATGCTAATTTTAGCAATCTTTCAAGTATACTGTCAGTTTGTTTTGCAAATGTTCTTTGAACTATGTTAAAATGTTATTTAGTACATGTAAGCATCGGTTGATTTTCGTGTAGTATTGTTTGTAAACACATTGTGATTGTATTGTTAAATCATTCTTAAAATTGAAATTAATTTAATTAATCAAGCATAGTGCACTTGTTACATTCAACTCAAACCTTCAGTACTAATCAGATTGTATTATATTAACCTTATTAATGCTTATTACAGGGGTCAGCCGGTTTTAGTAGGCAGTGGGTCCATTTCAAAGGCTTAAACAACATCTATCGCAGTATACTTATCTTGCAAATACTTTGTTAACTTGCATAAAAGTGTTACAACTTTTTGTTTGTTTTAGAAATGTCCTCCGTGTTAACTGAAACCTGTCATTTGGCTCTTGTTTGTTATTATTATTGTTATCAATTCGGCAGAAACAAAGAAAATCATTGAAATCAAAACAATAGTACATTTGGAAAAGAGTCACATGGATGCAAGGGATAGAAAAAGATTCACTAAATAAATTACTATATTAACAAAGTCCTATACTAGCAAACACGCGGTGTCCTTATGACGGCCACAAAATGCACCGATATTTCTGAAACTTTCCAAAACCGTTTTATCAGGGCCCTGTCTTATAAAGAGTTGATATAATCGCAACTTATTCGCGACTGATATCAATTTTGTATGTACATAGGAAATAGGGGCGGAAGACGCTTTGTACACTTATTAAGAGGAGCGATCCGAGGATGTTATGCGTATTCTACTCTTCAGTTAAATCCGACTCTGGGGATAGATTCACTTTTAATAAAGGGAAAACTTAGACTTTGTACTAGCTCCTTTCGGTAAGCCCGATTTTGACAAAAGCCTTAATCCAGCATTTGGGTTAAAACCTTAGTAGAATACGGATCAAAGACTGGCGGGCTACTGAGCAAGATCATTCAGAAGTATGTGTTGGTGGGTCCTGGTCCTCTTGTGTTAGGAGCAGATTGAGCAGGACCCGGATGCTGTGCTGATACTTGTAAGGGATAACTATTGTTAGGCGCTGTCTGTTGCTGCTGCTGAGACATGTACTCGGGCTGCGGCGGTTTCCCTCGGAAATTGTCGGGTGTTGGTCGGTAGATGAACGATCTGTCTTCGTCCCTCGGCTGTGGATTAGCAGCGGGTTCTCGGCTGTTTAGCTGGGTGGAGTAATTAGGTGGTCTGTTCACGTGTCGACGACTTTCGGGATGGTTTCGACCGTGGTCTGCTGAAGAACTCGGGTTTTGGTTCGGCGATCTTCGGGGTTGCTCGGAGTATAACGGCTGTCCTCCCGAGTACACCGGCTGGTCCATAGGATCACCTTGAACTCCATCGTAGATGTAACTCCTCAAGTTGTACGCTCTGTCTATTGGCTGGCCGAGCTCATCAGCTTCGTATCCCCGATTGACCTGGCCACGCCTACTTTCATGTGGGATATATGATTGGTGGTTCGCACCGAGATGTGGGCGTGGCATACTTGACTGCTGTCGGTTCCTCCTATTCAGGTCTTCGGGTACAGGTCCTCTCTCCAAAGCAGGTGGATACGGATAATCATTTCGGACAAGGAGTGACTGATCATAGCTCACATTACGGTTATCTCGTCGATTATCTCGTCGATTATCTTGACGATTATCTCGACGTTTATCTCGACGGTTATCTGAATTTGGAACTAGGTATCCGTTGCTTTGTCGTGATGGCCTCCCCTGTGGATGTCCGTTTTGAACCGAGTGAGGAAAACGAACTTGGTTTGGCTCTTGATCGAATTGAAGTGGCCGAGTTTGGTTTGGCCGAGATTCGTCATCCACCACTGGATTGTTGACGAAGACACTATCCTGGACGGTCCGTAGATTCTGTTGTCTTTCCTGTGAGTGAGTGAAATAAACAAAACAAGATAAGAATAAACGAATATATCCGATATTTTCTAAACAAAATGGAGGAAAAAGGAGGAAAAAGGAGGAAAAAGGAGGAAAGAGGATGGTGTAGCCTCGAACGAAATGAAATGATATAAACACCCCCCCCCAACCAAGTTGACACTGAGGATTCAAAGCCACATAGTAGTCAGTGTCCATGTGTATTGCATCATAATTCGCTGACACCAGATTTGGTTGAATTACAAAGTAACAAGTACGCAGGTCTCTCAGGGAGCGAATACGTTGTCCCACCAGAAAATACTCCAGCTTGCCTTCATATCTGGAGGGTGAGGGAAACTTATTATGATGAGAATACCTTATGGCGGGACGTTCAGAACACGGTGCATTACATATGACCTGTGGGTCGTAAAAGTGAAGTCCACTCTTGGTGATTTACAACACTTTTTTTTTCTCCATAGATAACCGAATGGTGTCGTTTTCCACCATGAGGTCCCAATACTGTGAACTTTTAAAAGGGTGGTCATGTCTGGCGTATATGGGGCTGTCATGTTCATCAAAGAATCCCCAATACTAGAAAGTTATTTCTGTCTATCAATCCGAACCTAACCATAAACCTAACACCAAACACAACTGCAACCCTAACCCTTTGTCTTTGACTAAATAAAGCCAGGCTCAATTGTCAAGGGAGCAAATGTTAGATCAATGCAAATGCAAATTGGTCCATAATTCTTACATCTTCTTCCTCCAAATCCTCCTTGACCTCCTCCTCGTAGTCCTCCGCTGGCGTTGCTATGCAGAAGTAATAACAATTCCACGTGATGGTGATGAGAAAGAGAAACACGCCACCAATGGACATAGCGCTGAAGAAAAACACACTGAAATAGTCCACGCCCACATTGCCTGTTATGACGTCGTCTTCCATTGGTCGAGAGAGGTAGGCGCGATATGCGTAGATACATGCGCAAATGATCTCACATGGAACCAGCAGGAATGTCAGTATGATGATAAACGTGCCCTAAAACAAAACAAAAATAAAAAAACAAATTGTAAAGCAAAATAATGAAAATATTTTCATCATCATAACCATGTCATAACTGTTCCTGTAAATTGTAACATGAACTTGGCAAAAGGAAATAAAGAGAGAGAGAAAAAAGGAAATACTAGTCAATTTAATGCAAATAATTTTATATAGGTAAATGAATGAATACATCCTGCATTTCTTCAGAATTGTTAGTATCCGGCTATGAACATTGACAAAACAGCTCTAGGCTTTCGTCATACCCTTCTTTAATGTTTTCTTGTGTAGCGCCCTCTTTTGAAAATACACAGACATCCCTCACGCTGGACTAAGTCTAGATCATTTTCATTTTGTTTAAAGCGTTGATTGATGAAATCGTTCACGGTCGGTGGACCGAAAAGCAGATTGTTCTGACAAGTGATTACATATCATTGAAGATAGACAAGAACACGTAATAATAAAACATTGCATATTCATATCATTAAATGTTCAAATATACTCTTCCCTTGCATTCGAGCACTCTTTTTTTGTCTTTATTTCATCAAGTGACTTTTATTGACAAGACCTTTTATGGTAACCTTGATTCCATGTATGGTGCTCTGCAACTGTTCTGTATTTATGACTTGTATCTTTAAATACTTTTATTGGAATGAAAAAACTGAACTTATGTGTCTCTTTTACTCATTTCGATCAAGTTATAGTCATGTTCTTTTAAGATATTATAGAAACATCATCGAAAAAAGAAAGATTTTCTTTCACTTACCAATGATTTGAATTTGACACAAAACAGTACGATGATCATGAAGCCCACGGTGAAGGCCTGCAAGATAAATCAATAAAATATTATTTTAATTTATGTTTTTTTTTCTATACCTGCTATAGAAATGGTTATTATTTTCGGGGGGGGGGGGCGTGTGCGTAGGAGGGGGTGTGCCAACACTTCCTTCGCATTTCTTTATTTTTTTTAGATAAAAAAGTCTTTCTCATGAATTGGTACATCCTTCATGAAATCGATTCTTACAAAAAATAGTTAAATAGAAATTATTAAAACTACCCTGTGACTCAAGCTAAGAGACCGTCTGGTCAAGTTTGGTGTCGTATCTAAAGTTCCTTGTTACCCCCCCCCCCCCCCCTCTATGGAATAGCGTGTTTTTGTTTCAGTAGGACCACATTTTCTCCATGGTTGGGATAATATTATTTTCAACACTACTCTGGATCGATTTAACGTAATAGCTCACAAAATGTTTAAATAAAATGCTTTCAATAACAAGACGAGGATAAGTATACCGACATGTGATTTAAAACTCGAGAACAATTGACTAATCCTAAAGTAACTGATAATCATTACAGGGTCATTCTTAGTACTTAAGATTGACAAAAGGATATATTAAGATTTATATTACATCATACTTCAAACATCAGTTTGATATTAAATAGGATACTTGATGCGTCTAGTAACACAGGGCTTCATACGAGCACATATTTGATACCGAATCAATAACAGATGATTATAAAATAATGAGAAAAAAAATGGCAAAACACATAGGTTGAAAATAAAGATAGGTTCTTCGAGTACTGGCAAACTAACATATTTACTTGATTTGTTCACAGAGTGGCTGGTTAGATATTTTAAGCGTATAATCCGGTTGTAGGGTACGTTTATATGCAGGAGTTTCATTGAAGGTCTTTTTCAATACTGAATAAATTAACCTTTTTATGAGTTAAATTTAATAAAAATGATAGAATTGAATCATTTACCAATACACCAGTCCACACGGCAGCAAAGTAATTAAACTCGATCAGCTTTCCATCCGGGCATTTAAAGTAGCACGCCGCCCATAGTCCAACCTCGGTCATTCCGAAGAAGATACACAGGAACGCTAGCACCAAACCACAGCATCCTAGATTGACATCCATACTGTCACGTGATGGGGTTCCTTGTAAGTGATTGGTTGATTTCTCCCCACTCGTGACCCTTCAATACTGATCTGAAATAAAAGAAAGAGACATGATCACGTGATAAGCAAAATGGCCACTAGACACACAGCTCACTACATGAATTCCAAAAGCTGTTTACGTGACCTCAACCCAGGGGGTATTTAATAAAATTGATTTTTAAGATCAGAAATACATTTTAGTTCATAAAACTTCCCCTGAATCGTTTCCTACAATTTTTTACATTGTTCACTTGTAATTTCGTCTTTTTATTCTCTTTCATGTCATTATCCATCTCGTTTAAAGATAAAGATCAGTTCTGGTCATGCGATTGCATTGTGAAAGAAACGTTGTGGAATCGATCAGAAAAGGTTGATCATCTAGCAAATAAGTATTGGTGTGTACTGCAAGGTTCTGGAATCATCAAAATGATAGGAAATTTGGCCCAGTCTCGGTAAAATCACAAGTAATGCACACAGAAAGATAAATATGGGACTACGCGACACGTGCGCGTTATCTATAAGGTCCAAATATATATACTAATTTACCAAATATATCAATTAGTGGGGGGCTTCTCGGCAAAATTTGTATGATCACGTATTAGTCAAAACATATTCTTTCACCTGATTGGTAATAAGAGCTTCCATTTCATTTTTTGAGAGGGGCGTTTCCAAAACTGGCCTTTACCTTTAAAACAGTTATCAAGGAGACGAGAAATCGTACAGATTTTTTTTTTTTTTTTTTTTTTTTTGGGGGGGGGGAGGGGGGGGGGGGGGGGAGTGAAGCTTTAAAGGACCCCCCTCTCACACAATCCTCCTAATGGGTGGCTTTATCAATTCGTATTTAATCCACAGAACCAGACTACCACCCCCCCCCCCCCCCCCCCCCCCCACCGAAAGATCGTTGACCGTATTTTGTGTGTGAGACCGAAAGAGGAGAAGCAGATCGCAAAGTCCGGACAGGAGTGTATCGAGGAGGGAGTTCAGAAAGATATGAATGAGCGAAACCATGATAAGTCTTGAAAGTAAGGAGGATAATTTTGTAAGTGATGCGAGAAGTGATAGGAAGCCAGTGACGTTTTTGAAGAACAGGGGTTATGTGAAAACAACGAGGGAAAAAAAAGAAAAAAGCGAGCTGCTGTGTTTTGAATACGCTGGGCCCCAGTCACATTACAAACCGACCGAGTTTTTGACAACTATGGATAAGGTATGATTTTGTACGGTCTCTTGTCGGTCTGGCGCTGTTCTTCTCGGTGTGAGTGTGGTATAACTGAGGTATGAGTCAAGAACATGATGATAAAGGAGTTTGTATTTCCCTATGCAAACCACCAGCGAGTGTTCACAAACATTCGACACAATACGAAAGTTCCGCATTGTCAGCGGATTCCAGAGTTGAAATGAGGAAATCAGAGCAAATATGCTCTAAGCTTGCTTTGTGTGTTTGGATAGAATCTCATTATTAGAGTGTTTTCGACATTAGCAGTATTACTTCTCTTTCCCCCTCTTTTAAAGGTACTATGTCCCATTTGCAGGCCAAAAAAAATGAAAAAGTTAAATTCCAACTGCATTTGAAAGATAATACTGATTTAGAACTTCCATAAAAAAGGTGGGGCTTGAAAATGTCTTCAAGTGGGAAAATAACGACTATAGTTGTCAAATCGACTTTAGGGCTATAGAGCCCAAAAGTAATAGTCTTGATTTTCAGACAATTGAACCGAATGGTCATACGTTTTATGCTGCGCAAAGATTCAATCAGTTTAATATTGGCCATCACAAGAAGTGGGTTATTGATGTAGACAAATGCTCATGTACCCTTTACAACTCTTTGCATGTATGCTATTACCCAAGAAGAAAAAAAGCCAGTCAGTCACTCAATAGTGTCTGACAGTGAAGTCTAGCAAGTAAACGGGTTTCCTTGCATAATTTGAATATGAGGACACTGCTAAAGTTTAAATTTCACAGATAAGACATACATGACATATTCATAAATCCTGCAAAGTTCAACAGCATTTGAGGTTGGCTGCAAAAGGGACATAGTACCTTTAATCTGTAAGATCTTCCCTTCTCTCTCCTCTCTCCTTATTCATTTCTCTCCCTCTACGTGTAACCTCTTGTTATTTGAATTCTTTCTTTCTTCTCCTCACCATTCTCTATCTCTCTCTTCCGTCCCCTGATCTCCTTTTCTCTCTGTCTCTCTGAACCTATTATTTTCTTACTCTTTTCCCTTTCTCTTTTCCATCTCAGTTTTTTACCTCACCCTCTCTCATTCTTTCCCCCTCTCTCGGTAGGTTTTTTACTCTTTCTGTCTGTCTGTCCGTTACCATGCCCTCTCGCATTATGTCTCTCCCCTTCTCTCTATATATATTTACTCTTTCTTTCTTTCTATCTTTTACCACCTTCTCTATTTTCTTTCTTTCTCTCTCTCTCTCTCTCCCCCTTCCTCTCTCCCTCCCTCCCTCTCTCCCCCTCTCTCTCTCCTTCTCTCTCTGTATGTATTCTTTCTTTCCTCGCCTCCCCTCTCTCCATGCATTTCCTCAACATTTCTATTTGTAAAAACCTGACATGAACCCAATCGATCTCCTTTCCCCATTAGTACGTGCAATGGTACGTCATGCATAATGAACATTACCAAATAATATTTTAGGACTGTTAACAATTTTGTTATATTTTTCATACCATAAATTCCAATGTGATTACCATTATGATTATGATTAATACTTTTGGTTGCTCGCTCCAAATATTTTTTATTCAGCGCTGTCCAATGAAGTAACTGCGGTATAAATACATTCTTAACATAGTTAAACACACACGCACACGCACACCATGACCCTTTAAACACTACCTCTATTGAATCGTATGCGGAACTCTATCCCTAAAATACAGATATCTTGTTTAATAATCCGTAATGTATAGATGACGTTTCATAAAGATTCTTTTCAAAACTCGTTTCCTCCTCGAATGAATTGAAAGCTTTCGTTAGCAGGGTGTACAGAATAATCCTGGGAAATTCAGATTTTGAACTCTTCCATCACAAAACCTTTACTTGTAGTCTGTGCATCTTATCCCGGGAACCCGTTTTTCTTATTTTTGTTTTTATCTTTGATTTCGTACCATCATCATCATCATCATCTTGTTCTTCCTCCGCCATTTCAGAGATCAGTGATCCCATGGGTCGCAAAGACATGTAACTAAACTGGTCACAGGAGCACAAGAGTGAAGCTAACGAGTAACATCAAGGCAATGGACTGATAGCAGTTGTTCTCGATAAGTGACTTTTATAAACATAGAGTAAAGTATAAATAGACAGTCGACTTCTATACGTATTCAGTAGCAGGACAGGATCGGGTGGTAGTAAGCCCATACATGTATCAGCCTAGTGATTGTAGATAGAGCTGTGAACATTGATACCTGTATCTTACTGGGTGCAAACCTTGAACATGAAAATCAACTTTAAGTTTTAAGACACATGTTATAACCTACATTTTTCAATAATAATAGTATATTATTTCGGAAGGCTTTGAGTATGATAGAATAATATATTGTCACAGCGAGAGCAATAATATTATTGTGTCACACCGTGAAAAGAAATCCATACAACATTATTATTATTATTATCTATATCAGGCTGACTAGCAACATACAAACATTTGGATTAACTCGATACAGCTTTGTTTTCGTGTGGTATCGATATTGTTATTTCAAGTTAGCGGATGAATGAGCAATACGAAAGCAATATTGATCAGACATCCGGGTACTGCGCTAAAGATATTGAATACACTGATTTATTGTACCACTTGGAAGCCCTATATAGATAATTATACAAATTATTGTCAAGCAAATGATGGTGTATAAATAAACACGACCATTTTCAATCACTAAACGAATTAATTATAGTCTACTATCTCGTGATGAAACACAACATTTATAATAGAAACAACGATACACAAATTTGGCATGAGTACATGTATATATCGGCTATTTACAAAACCTTTTCCATCATATAATCGTTACGAAGGTAAACGTTATGAAAGCATTTCAATAACAAACATTTTGGGACACTGCCTCTGTCAATAATATTCCTCGACAAGGAAGTGTAAAAAGGGAGTGTAAAAAAGAGAGTTGGAAAGATTCCAAATTGTTTTGGTTCAGTTGTTCTTTACCTCACAGAAGCCTCGTTTCGAATGAATTTAATATTCTCATGCATTTGAATATAACATTTCAAACACAAAAAAGTGATATGATAAATTGCCCTTCATACATGTCCTACATAAATATAATGTACATCAGATATAACGCCTCTTCTGTCAAACATGTTTCAGCTTTATATAATGGCTCAACCCGTTTTTTATCTCTACATAAATAACTGATGTTTTCTAATTTTTTCCCTACTTTTCATTGATTGATTTATTTTGTTACTACATCTTTTATTTGTTATAATTTCCTAGTCGAATCCGTGTTCCTATACGCACTGTATTCTGATCAATTTAATCTATTCAGGATAGCTGCCTACGTTGTGTTGTTTACCCCAGTACCATTCGTTTAAAAATATCATGAAATCGAAACCAAGAGATTACCCTCCTGTTCACTTATTTTATTTGTGCAATGTGAATTTAATGAATGGAAATTTGGGCTAAGTCAAACCTGTAAAGCTGATTCAAAAAGTAAATTCATTGAATTAAATACAATTCACCTCTATTAGAAATACATGTAAGGCAATTACCATTTCGTTGAAATCGAATGAATCAGAAATAGAAAACACAAAATCATTTAAAACGGTTTGCTTATTATAACACACATAGTTGGAATATCATGGAGCTGCTTAACCGAACCAGAGACATTGCAAACAAAAGGCTTCTTAAACTGTGCTCAATATTGTTGACTTCTTTTTCTGTTGATTTGTTGGACTTGGTTTTGCATGAAATTGAATAACAATGTTGACAAAAGTTGATATGTTAAAACAGAAACGCTTATTTAAGTCCGTTTTCGGTTCTAATATTGACCTAATTATGGTTGCAAACTTTGTAGTCTGCCTCGGAATACTTAGAAGGTAGAAAAGATTTGTAAAAAAAATTCACGGAATCGTTCATTTCAACTTGTTATATATATATATATATATATGTATGGTAAACATAATTCTGGTAATACAATAATTATTATTATTATTATTATTATTTATATACTGCGCTTTTCCCAGAGTGGCCCAAAGCGCTTACAACAACATTACTACAATATTACTATCAATATTACTACATTTGGCATGATCTATCTTTATTATTATTATACACAAATAGCCTACCGGTTGACGAGCTAAACCTTTATACAAACTGAAATGTTACTTTATCAATTTATTTCGAATGTATATGGTGGAAAGTGCCTTTTCACGAGAGTTAGTTTTCAAAGGGGTCCATAACATTTACAAGTCAATATATCGCTCCATTTATATTGATTCACATACTGGTGGGTAGTGTAGGCCTAATGATATACAAATATAATAATGTAACTAGCAATGGGGAAGCAAAGTGTCAGTTTACAACTTAAACATATATGTCTATAAAGTATATAATATTTATATATGTGTAAATACTTTTAAGTTGATTAATAAAAACATTTGGAAACTATAGAGCATTAAACTCTTCTTTCAATAGAAGACTCTATTGACATGTGTCAACGGAGTGTTTTTATTCTATAGTTTTGAGTTTATTCTCCTCCGCTGAAAACATTCTCTTATCAAATATTAAAGACTTCAAGCCTTTAGGACTTTTTCACTAAACACAAGACGGCCCATCACGTTTAGCAGTCCACACTTTACGGTTAAATATCTTTATATAATATGTACATATATTGTTATATAGATGTTGAAAAGGTTCAATTTTATCAGTAAGTGTTGTACAGTCTGTTTTACCCGAAGGCTCATCAGCAACTAAATTCATTTCATACAAGGCAATGTTAGTACACTCATTTTCAATCAGACAAGAATACAACAGAAACATAATAATTCCCTATAGTTAGGGTGAACGCAAGAATATAGATATACATCATTATACAAAAAAAGTATACTGTAAACAAACTGCTACTGTAGTATGCCTTTGCCAATGTTAAGGCGAAGTGTCTGTTAAAACAGCATGCTACTCAGAAAGTGAGATGGGCGTGAACATGTTTGTACATCCTGGTTCAACTTCAAAACTATTAATCACTATATACATGATCTACCACCTCGCAATAACACACACTGATCGGAACCCAACTGGGTGTAATACATACCAAGCATTCTTCTCTGTATCTCCTTGTTCCATCCAAAATGTCAGATTTCAGTCAAGAAAAGTTGAAATATTGTGAGAGAAGCGGCAGTTGATATCCCTACAGCAGGGTTCTAACTGATATTGTAAATGTATAGGGTGAGACGTTGTAGAGGAGGCTTTAAAGAAGACGAACCACTCGGAGATAAACAGTGTGATTATATCCTCAACTTTGCATTCACCCTTGACTAAGCTCTTTTAGACACGAATACAGTTGAATGGTTAATACAGTCATGTGTTCACACACAGCGCGATATATCTTGCAATGCACGAACACACTCACTGCAAAATACGTTAGTAATCTGTACTTGCACCTACGAGCGTGGGTGCTAAATTGCAGTGCCGAATAGCGCGCTGAAACGAGACGCCAGTTTGTAAAAGAAGCGAACTTTTTGAGGGAAGTTGACACAAGTTTAGGGCGCATTGTGAAGCCACCGCTTCTGGTCCCACTTGGTACCGTGCCGTACTGCTGTTACTATATTCAAGCGTGAGTGTGTGCTGTACTGTGGTGTGGTGTGCGCGTGTGTGTAAAATAGTGGTGTGTGTTTGAGTGTGTATTGTGTGTGAAAAGGTATCGCGTACGGTGCGGGGAAGATTCAATGCATTCCATGACATGCATTCGTTCTACGTGAAAAATCAGTGCAGGTCACGCGTCAATGATCATCAATAGAGGCGCCATTTTATAAAGCAAAGCAAAGTAGACTTTCTTTCCAGGCCATTCTCGATACAAACAGAGGAAATACTCCACTCAGCAGTGTGAAACACTGAAATGAATGGGTTTAAGACAACTACAATTAGGACTCTTTCTGCTGGACAACTGTATCCTGGTGATAATGGCCAAGACATCTAATCCTAATGTAACATATCGGGGCAGTTTAGCAGCGTGCCCCTTTTGAGCGCCCTAGCTCCTCCCCACTGAAAAAAGAGAATCTGACTATGTTACTTGTACGTGTCAGGACAGCGTAGCTTTCAGGGGCTGCTATAACCTGGTGCCCCCTCAAATTTTTTTCCAGAAGCCGCCCACTGCCCCTGAAAAAAGCTTGCTACACCGTGGCTACAGCCATATTTTTTGTCCAGACCCCCCCCCCCCATAAAAAATCTAACCTCGCTACGTGTTCATGTCATGTCATGTCATCTTTAGGCACCCCCCCCCCTCCTCCGCGCCCCAACATACAATTTTCGTGAACTTACGGTACCACGTACCTCAATGAAAGTTTTCAAAATCCCACACCCAAGGCTTCTACAAAAATAATGGCCACACCAGTTCTCCATGTTAGGGCTATTTTTAAACTTTCTGTTGTTGTTGCTTGTTTGTTTGTTGTTTTGTTTTTGTTTTTGCGGGGGGTGGGTTTATATACAGCTGTATCATTTACCCCTTTAAAAAATTTGCCAAAGCCCCTTCCCTGCCGTTACCTGTCAGGACCAGCCTATTATGTCCACCATACCTAACTCCAGTTTGTAATGGCTAAGTATTTTTTTGTAGGGAGCACCTGTTAAGCTAGCATACATCACCTAAAACTCATAATTCATCTAATTATCATTGACATCATATCAGAACTTTGATTTCCCATAACTCAATATTTGTTAAAGGTGCTCCTTTTTTGTGTTACCCCTCATTCTCATAATAATTATTTGTTCTAATTGTTCTGTATTGATTTCTATTGGTGTTACTCTGTTGAGTATATATTTCATGTATGTTGTTTTTTATTGAGAATGAAATAAGACTGAAATAAAGACTTAAAACCCCTGCCATTATTTTTGATGTCGCCTTGCGTACAGCTGTATCACATACCCTTATGAAAACTTGCAAGAGCCCATTTCCCACTGTTATCTGTTAGGAACGGCTCAATATGTACACCCTACGAACAAAATACCAGCTTAAACCCCAACTCTAACCTTTTCCTGATGGGGGCTTTTCAGTACGAAAAGAGTTGAATGAGCTCCGAACTTGAAAAAAATAAATATGGCAACGCTGCTGCTATAAATGCATGCTAGCTTAACAGGTGCTCCTTAAAAAGAAAAAGAAATTACCCACCGCCACCTCCCCCTCCTCAGAATTACGGCGTTGTCGCTGTTTTACATAAATATTTTCTGTATTTTTTCCTGAAGTTTAAGGGAAGTCTGTAGGTAACGATGCCCGTGGACACATTCGCGTGATCAATTCTTACTGAAATGGAACATAGAGGGCACAATTCAAGAAAGCAAACTTTACGCATCGGGTATCTCTACTCTTCACTCTCCCCTCTCTTTTTATCTTCTCTCTCTCTCTCTCTCTCTCTCTCTCTCTCTCGCGCGCGCTCTCTCTCTCTCTCACTACTTCATATTTCTTCGCTTCTCTCTCTCTCTTTCTCTACTTCATATTTCTTCGCTTCTCTCTCTCTCTCTTTCTCTACTTCATATTTCTTCGCTTCTCTCTGTCTCCCTCCTTCTCTCTCTTTCCCCGCTCTCTCACCTCCTCTCTTCTTATTCTCCCTCTCTTTCCTCCCCTCTCTTGTCTTCATTCTCCCCTCTCCTCTACTCGCTCTATCGCCGTTGTCGGCCTCTCCTCTCTCTGTCCGCCTCTCTTCTTCCCCCTCTCCCTCCTCTTACCATTCTCTAGCTTCTTCTTTTCATTTCCTCTCATCTCCCTCTCTCCCTTTCTCCACCTTCCTCCAATCCCTCCCTCCATTACACGACACGTGAATGACTTAAGGTTTTAAAGGAAAGGGTGTGTGTATTCATTTGTTATCGACAATTCATAGAGAATGCTTTTGTGATTTAAAGGAAGGGGGAATGTAGAATTTTTTTTGTTGATAATAATTTCTGAATTATACCAGCATCGCCGCAGTTTCTTATCACCAGAACCCTATCATGTAGGCTACAACACAATATCACAACACCACTTGACAACAGGGGACTCAAGAAACGAGAATGCTTGTATTTTTTCGTCATTTTTTAAGGTAGGAAATACAAAATGTTTCACAGATATTACCGGTAAAATGAAATCAATCTCAAGTTAATACGCATGTGACAAAATGGCGTCGTTATTTCCAGAAAGAAAGCCTAGAGAGTAAGAGGAAGAAGCTGTTCTGACCAGGCGCGCCGGAAGCAGTTTGGGATTGGGGGGGGGGCAAACATTCCAGGGGGCTCACCTTCCGAGGGCAGTGACGTAATGAGAAAAAACGTTCGGAAGGGGGGGGGGGGGGCAGGCAAAAAATCTGCATCACCACCAGTCTTACACGTTACATGCAGGTCCCGCGGAACGTTTTTCAAAGTGAAGTATTAACGATCAGGTAGAGCGTAAATTGGCGTGGGGTCCAGCCTCGGCAGGGTGTCAAGGGGCTGAGCCCCCGGAAGCTCAGGGATTTTAGGTATTTAATTACGGTTAGATGAGCATCCAGGGGCCTCTTTAAGGCCATTGACGTGTTCCAGAGGGGGGGGGGGAGCCCCCAGAAGCTCAGAGGTTTTAATATTTGACTACGGTCAGATGAGCAACCAGGGGCCGCCCTAGGGCACTTGGTGGGGTCCAGGGGGCAGGGCCCCCGGAAGCTCAGGGGTTTTAGGTATTGAATAATGGTCAGATGAGCATCCAGGGGCCCGCCTTATAGGGCCCTTGGTGGGGTCCAGGGGGCAGAGCCCCCGGAAGCTCAGGGGTTTTAGGTATTTAATAATGGTCAGATGAGCATCCAGGGGCCCGCCTTATAGGGCCCTTGGTGGGGTCCAGGGGGCAGAGCCCCCAGAAGCTCAGGGGTTTTAGGTATTTAACTACGGTCAGATGAGCAACCAGGGGCCGCCCTAGGGCACTTGGTGGGGTCCAGGGGCAGGGCCCCCGGAAGCTCATGGGTTTTAGGTATTGAATAATGGTCAGATGAGCATCCAGGGGCCCGCCTTATAGGGCCCTTGGTGGGGTCCAGGGGGCAGAGCCCCCGGAAGCTCAGGGGTTTTAGGTATTTAATAATGGTCAGATGAGCATCCAGGGGCCCGCCTTATAGGGCCCTTGGTGGGGTCCAGGGGGCAGAGCCCCCGGAAGCTCAGGGGTTTTAGGTATTTAATTACGGTCAGATGAGCATCCAGGGGCCCGCCTTAGGGCCCTTGGTGGGGTCCGGGGGCGGAGCACCCGTAAGCTCTGGGGTTTTAGGCATTTAATTACGGTCAGATGAGCATTTTTTATGCCTTATTTGTGACATTGGCAGGTCACTTATTTTTTCTCTCCGTCTTTCTTTCTTTTTCTCTTTAACATACTTTTTCAAAAAGTGAGGGGGGAGGGGCTCGAGCCCAGCCACTTTGCAGACCATGTCATAAAGGCTTCTAAATAAGCGTATTTTTCGCCCGACTGTAATTTGGGAATTTCTTTTTTTCCAACAAACGCATAAAAAGGTATGACTTTAAAAAAAATGGAGAAAAAATACCGGAAAATCATGTCATAATAGCAACATGTGTAAATCACTGGTATCGTATAGATATACCCCCCCCCCCCCATCAGTACGCCAGCGTTCAGGGGCTCATGTCTTCTCACCCCTATAACAAAACCAAAAAAACAGACACGTTTTCCCATTCTCGCACAATATGTCCACTATAAACCGTATAGGTAGCATGCGCAATGTTTATAAAAATTTAATTCCTGTGAACTTTCCTTTTCTTTGAATGGAATGGTATATGTGCTTTAATTCAGGTTTTTATTATTGTTATGTTCTTTTGGGTTAAAAATACAAACCATGTTTATTCCTTTACTGCTTTTTTTTTTTTTTTTTGGAGGGGGGGGGGGGCGTTTTGGGGGGGCAAAAATGCGTTTTGCCCCCCCACTTTTTTGACTGGGGGGGCAACTGCCCCCCCTGCCCCCCCACTTCCGGCGCCTATGGTTCTGACATCAAAACCATACATATTCTTATCCTCTCTACGTTCGTGTTTTAATATCGAATTGTTTTAACAGCAACTTGATGGCTGGGAAATAATCGTCTGATTTATGTCTTATTCATAAACAAGTGTCTGATTGTATATATTTGAATAGCCCTTTTTAGACCCTATCCTAGTTTTGTGAGACTAGGACAGATGTACATTGAAAACAAACTTCACATTACATCTCCATCAATCATCGCTTATTTATTTTGAGAGCCTGAAAAGGAAAAATAAACCTGGAATCTTCGCTATAAAAATGCCAACCTCCTTTTTCTCTTTTCAACAACTCATGTCATATGCGCTCAAATGACCTTTGATCTTTTTCCGTGAACATGACAATGTGATGAATGATGTACCGTCAAAGGTCGATAATAAAACAATACTCTTGTCATGGTAACCGGATCATTTCCTTCTGTGGTATCTTTTCACAGACTTTCATTTTCTATGACATTGTATCATTGTTAATGTCGTCTGCATTGAGATTTTCCTATATCAGTATGAACCATTGATCGTGTGTTTTAGTGACACTAGACGAAGAGTCACGTGGTTCTCGGTTTGAGTCCCACCGTGGCACTAATGTGAAATAAAGATATAGTCATTGTTGTTATTTGGCCCAATAAAATTGAGTCCTTGCTTTTCGTCCGGATTTTTCGACAAAAATGAAAATAAGGGAGATGCGTACTATTTTGTTTTTTGCTGGACATAGAACATGGTATAATATTGGGATTTTGTTTCAAATTTCAATTGTACACGCACTTCGAAGGGGTTAAAACAAGGTGGAATTGCATTATATCAATACATTCTATTATTGACACCATTGCCTAGAATGATGTCCTCAAACTGTTTATTATTTTCTATCAGAACAAAAATATCAGATCACACAAGTTTGAGGTGGACAGGTAATAACTTTATTGAGGAGGGACGAGAAACTTTACATTGTTTTTCTTTGGCGTCATACTTGTTTGTTGTGACGTCTACAAATAATGAAGTACTGAAAAGGGGTTCTGGGAAGGATTTATTTATTTTTACTATTTTAACTAAAATTTAACTTTTGTCTAAATAGTGATTTATCTAGCTGTAGCTTTTGTAAGAAAGTTTATGGATGTTGATATCCGACTATAATTTGTCTATATGATTGAATGTGATCGAATTTTCAAATCACAGTTTTTCCCGCTGGATTACACAAACGCCTTCCACCTAATGAATATAACTTTTGTTGGGGGATGAAGGGTAATCTCTTCCTCTTTGTAGAGGGGCACTGATGTATGCCAAAATACTCATCAGCAAAGTACATGTTTGTAATTGCCTAACATATTCAACCCCCTTCGCGTTGGATGTACTCATACATAAGAGGATCCGGAGTGATTTGTTTTCGAGAGGGGGAGGAGGGGGGGGGGGGCACTAGTCTTTCATTAGATAAGGAGTTATCAGGTTTTACATCTAGACATATTTAACAAGCCCCCACCCCTCCCCACCCCTCCCCACCCCTCCTACCCCCATTCCTCCACCGTACTTTGAGAAGACATACCAAGATGATGTCTCAAGCTTGTTGATCTATCTCGAATGTCACCGACTGTGTTAAAGCATGGACCTACTACCCACGGACGTATGAACAAACAATTTCTGCAGCCGCGGGGTTGGGTTTAGAGGGTGGGGGGGGGGGGGGGGGGGGGGGGGGGGGGGGGCTCTTGCCCAAATGTGAACCTCCCGTTTTTATTAATTAGAGTAATCAAAGTGAACGAAAAGAATACTAGACACATAATTGCCCTAGTTGATGTATTGTGTATCCAGTTTCTAATTTCAAGCTCGTTAATTACTTCGGAATAAAATTACTGAACATGCTGGGGTATAAACATTAAAATGAGAACTATTTCGCTGCCCAAATATGACGTAAAGGTTGTCCAGATAATGAGTTTTAATGTTTTTGCAGGGGCCTGGTTATCGGGGGTTCCACACCTGGTCCCACTCTGCGAATTTGTGAAGTAAAACATAAGTGGAGTAACGACTTATTATAATGCAGAAAAATGAAGAAGACACAAATCAGGCGAGATTTACTTGAATTCGCATATTGTGAACGTAAACAGTGTCTGATAATAATCATTAAATAATATCAAATTGTTCTCATTTACCCAAGGGTATAATATCAATATTGAAAGAAAAAATGATAATAATTAGTGCTGGGCAGGGATTCGAATCCTCAACCCTTTGATAAAGAGTCATGACACCTCCACAAATGTAGATTACGAGCAGTAGTTCCCATACCTCAGTCACAGAACATTTAGCACAACGTAACTTTGTAATTTCTAAATGTACTAACCTATGGAATTATCTTGAATATCTTTTAAAAAACCATTCATTTCATGATGTAATCTAGTTAATGTAATTATGTTGATTAATGTACTATTACCAGTCTCTTGTTCATGTAAAATATTATATCATGTTTTGTGTGGTTTTGAATAAAATGAACTTGAACTTGAATAGTGTCTGAAACGAAAGACTAGTCAATGTCACATTTCTTCAGCTTGATGCATCCATACAAAAGTAGTCCAACACCCCGTAGCGAACATGACCATGGAAGGGTGGATGGCAAGCTTTTATACCAGTGACCCAGACCTGACCCCGAGGACTGGTGTCAAATAAAAGATTGTGCATTGAAATTGGATTGCGAATATCATGCATGAAAATTAATTAAATGACGTCACTCTCCAATATCAAGTGCAGATCGAAAAGGAATGGTATAGTCACTTTTAAGAACATTATTTACAAAATCTTGGATCCCTCCATGGTGTAAACCTAAAAGACCTAGGAGGGAAAGACCTCAACCCTAGAACGCGCGCCGCCATAAAGTTAGACAAATTGTCATCATTATTATTATTACTACTATTCCGCAAAGCGGGATGAAGTTGTCCGTAAATTTTAATTGAACAAAATTTGCTTTTACAAAATTGCTTTTTTCAAATGCAACTTTATAATATTCATGTCCGAGTGTCAGTAGTATATTGTACTATTGTTGTTATAATAGAATATTGGGCTTATTAATCATAAGCTGCTCTAGATATCGAGTTTGACCGAGATCCAAGGTGTTGAGTGTGAAATCCACCCCTAACTCCGTCGGAGAGAGAGAGAGAGAGAGAGAGAGAGAGAGCAACGATTAAAACATCCCGGTTTTACTAGCATTAATGTCCCAAAACTCTCTGGAGTCGTATTCCTAATCTTACTGCAGTGTACAGTCTTGACATTGGACCTAAGCTGTAAGCAGTGTAAGTGTACATTATATTGCCATACTCCCCCTATTCCCACCCATCGTGTTTGGTATCCTATTAATATTACAAACATATGGATATCTAAAGCATCTTCTTTCTCTGTTGACACCCCCTTAAAAATATTAAAAAATACCTACCCCCGTTTAGACTACCAAAATCTATCTTTTAGCAAACTTAGCGTTATACTTATCAAACCCGTAAGTAAACGATTGAACTATCTAAACGTTGCATAGCTAAATTCATGTTTGAAGGCCTTTTCGAATGAAAATTAGGGCTCCTTCTAAACCTCCTATTAGGTGGTGGGATGGTGGTGATGGTGCTGGTCGGGGGAGAGAGAGAGGGGGGGGGGGGGGAGGGGGGGGGGGGTGGGGCTATGATTGACCACTGACCAGCTGTCAAGTCAACTGACCTCATCAATTTCCAATAGTTTCCTTCCACGATTTATCTTTTTCTCACGTCTGAACACCCTTTTGTTAAAGTACGGTGATTTTAAACACGACATTTATGTATACAAGTTTCGTATGAATTCCTCTTCGTGTGAACGCACCGTTAATCTGTTCTGGTATTCGTCTACTTCTCGACCCCCGCCTCGTTCAAGTGCATAGCGACTCCCGACCGATTCGGGCTCGTGCAGGGTAGGCTAACTGTGCTACGTCAATGGTTAGACTCAATTCCAGAGCGTGTTACACCTGTTCAACTAGATCGTATACCCATCCATCCCGCTACCACCACACATCTACCAAAGCTCATCAATTAACCTACCAATATATCCATTGGTGACAGATAATAGACTGTGGGTGATCAGGGAACTATATACGCCGGGGAGTGATCTGGTATGTAAGTAAATTATCCAAAAGCATCGTTTTTTGTCTCCCTTTACTCTGGCAGTTGTCGTTAATAGTTTGGTAAAAGCAAGGAGGAGTTCCTTGGGTTGGTCTTTTAGAATGTGTGTAGAAAGAGAGAGAGAGGATAATTTGAGGCGGAGTGGGGTGTATCGTACACAACTCAGCGTTGCAGGTATGTTATTCAAGTGTTAATCGTTCTATATCTAACTCTTAGTATTCAGGATGTGTCGAGGAGGTATTATTCCGAAGAGTGTACACGAGTCTTACTATATCCTAGTGTGCAACACCTTAGTCTTACTTTCAGAATAATCAGTTTTAAAGGGTGTGATTTTTGAGGAGGAACAGGGCCACATTTCACAAAACTTGTCATTAGTGACAAATGACAGTTTCTGTTATAAGCTAGTGAAATCCTTGCTATTGATTGGTTATCAGCTGATTTGTCACTGATTTAACACCTGATCTTTTGTTTGTATTAATGTGTAAATATGGTATCATTTTCAGGAATGTGGGTGAACATTTATTGTAAACATGTTTGGATCTGATAGCATATGGCATTTTGAAGATTCAATTAATTTGAGATCAGTTGCATAGGCCTAAATGTGCATGATACAAGCAAAAATATATATACATGTACACACAGTACAATATACGTCTAATCATTATGAAATTTGGTACTCACTTAAATTCAATTAAGTTTATTTCAATTTCATTTCGCCAAAGCAATTACAAATAACATATATAGAACTGTACATTGTTACGTAAAAAAAGGAATCGTGAGCTTTCTTTTGTTTATCTTATAATGTGTAATAATTTCATTGTAGCACATTGCTATTCATATATTTATGTATTATACCAACAGTTTTTTTGACTTGGTGTACATAAGTTCTACCATTGTTATCTAGTTTGTTTACATTTTGATTTGTATTTGAAACCCAATCTCAAGTTATGGTTGCAATAAATCAGACAATCATGGACAGTGCAAACATAGATAAACTCTGTGACGAATTCGTGATGAGATCGGAGACAAGGAGAAAGCTTCCGCGCTTTGCGCAGGAGCGGGGAAACTGAATTCAGACAAGGATTTAGAGTCAAGAACGGTACAACGAATCGTCTTCTTTCTCTAATAATTTAAAGAAACGTCAAAGCTTCCGCGCTTCGCGCGGGAGGGGGGGGGGGGGGGGGAACTGAATTCAGACAAGGATTAAGAGTCGAGAACGGTAAAACGAATCGTTTTCTATCTTTAATAATCTAATGAAGCGTCAAAGCTTCCGCGCTTCGCGCAGGAGGGGGGGGGGGGAACTGAATTCAGACAAGGATTAAGAGTCGAGAATGGTACATCGAATCGTCTTCTTTCTATAATAATCTAATGAAACGTCAAAGCTTCCGCGCTACGCGCGAAGGAAGGGAAACTTGATTAAAACAAGGATTACGAGTCGAGAACGGTCCAACGAATCGTTTTCTTTCTCTAATAATTTAATGAAACGTCAAAATTCCGCGCTTCGTGGTGGAAGGGGAAACTCCCCCTCCCTGCACCCAACCCCCTAGGGAGCGCGCTCCGCGTGCCCACTACCGCCCTCCTAAAATGAAATCCTGGCTACGCGCTTGGGGAGGGGGTGCAACCTGCCACACACTTCTACCTCTTGGTTGCTTTGATCCATTGCCGAACATATTTTGGCACCTAGCTATCACCCCCCCCCTCCCAACCACGGATACAAATCGACACCCTTGAGTACACCACTGCAAAGAGTTCGTTCCTTAATACAATAGGTCCATTGCTGGATCTGTGGGAAGACTCAACAGGAGAGGGGCCGAGGCCAAAAGTTCCTTCATTTTCTTTCGATTTCAAATGGTACTTTCAAACGATTTAAAGTTTCCCCTACACTATTTTCTTGTTCTGTTATTATTAGAATTATTAACATTGCTTATACCGCGCTTTTCCCATGAGGCCCAAAGCGCAAGGATCCTATAAAGGAATTTAACTTATATTGCTATAACGCATACGACAGCAATCTTGGATATTATGCATGCATTCTAACGTGGTTAACCGCCATACCAATACAATAGATGCCGTATACAGGTGGTATTCATAATGCGAGTTCTATTGTGAACCGCAAGACCTTGGATAAAATAAATTGAATAGGATTTTTTTTATTGTTACTTCGCCCTTTTTCTTTGATTCTCTCATCTGAATTTCATTGTCACCTTTATTGACTCAAACCATGCGAATAAGGTTTACTTTCAACTTGTCTGCCTCTGTCTGTCTGTCGAATATATTGTATCGATCTAATATTTGCAGAGATCACAATCGAGACCGGGCCCTGTTCAATGAAACGTGCTGTCAGTAGCAAGTTATAACAGTTGTTACAAGCTACTGAAATAGCTGCATTTGATTGGCTGAGAGCAGATTTGTTATAGCAATTTGGCGGTTGATACTGGTCATACGTTTTATGAAACAGGGTCCAACTCCTCAGACTTGCATGTACGTGCGGGAGTAACGACATAAATGGTCCCTCGCCAGAAATGGTACCGCTATCAAATCTGTCCGGGGTATATGACGTGCTTTTGACAAACTAAACCGTCAAGACATAATGGGACAAAACTCGGCTGGTCATTATAAAATGTCTCCTTAATCCTTAATTCTATCAACTTCAATATTTTGAGATTATCTAAAATTGCGGGCATGAAATTATTAGTCGAAAGCATTATCACTCTCAGACTGAACATTATTTTGTTTTAACCAAACACTACCACATTCTACTAGTAATGGATTTTATGGATAATTTGTTTTAATAGTCTTTATAGGGAAATCCAACTTTAATAGCAAGCGACTATCCAAGAAACCAGAAATAATCAGAAAAGCAGACGGGTGAAAGTTTACGCGA